CTGCATTCCAGTCTGGGTGACAGAGTGAGACTCCAACTCAAAAAAAAAAAAAAAAAGAGTCACAGTGCCTTCCTGGAATAGGCCTTATTTGTACATATTTGGATCACTGGAGGCTAAACATTTAAAGTAAGTTCAGTAACAAAGCCAGGCAGGGGTGAAGTCCCTGATAGAAATGTGTTTACCACTGGGCTCAGTAGTTCAGTCTGTAATCCCAGCACTTTGGGAGGCCAAGGCGAGTGGAATGCCTGAGTCCACGGGTTCAAGACCCACCAGGGCAACGAGGCAAGGCCTTGTCTCTACAATACATCAAAATTAGTTGGGGGGGGGCTAGCACGTGCCTGTAGTTCTGGCTATTTGGAAGGCTGAGGCGGAAGGCTCGTTGGAGCCCAGCAGGTTGAGGCTGCAGTGGCCAGGAGTGTGCCACTGCACTCTAGCCTGGGCGCCAGAGTGAGACTCCAACTCAAAAAAGAAAAAAAGAAAGAAATGTGTTTACTGACTTCTTTGTGGGATAGAACATAGAACTGGGAGAAATATAATTATCAGTTATTAGTCTGATGTCTGACTGATGAGCAGGCTAAGAATCAGAACCACGTTCTACCAGGTCTGCTACGACCTAACTGCAGGACGTCCCTGGAATGCCAGTGAGTCATTTCTCAACGAGCACCAAGAAGGATGGTGGTAAACAATAGGCAAAGCAGGAAAGGTGTGGGCCCCCTTACCCTGCTGCAGCCAGAGCAGCTCCCCTCATCTTTGCTGTAGTTCCTCTGGAAAAAAGGTTGTGCTGCTTCTAAAAATAAGATCTAAAAAACAATGCAAGTGATAATATTGGAGGCCTCATGCTACATTCAAAGCTATCCAAGTAAACCTTTTATGATTACAGCACTTAGGATATATATGATGTATATCCTGTTACAGTATTTGTTACATGTTTCCAGATTTCAGTTTATTCAAACTACAGTTCAAAGTTTATCTTTGTCTCCTACTGCCCAATAAAGGCACATACCTAATCAGGATTTGCTGACTGAATGAATGATTTCTAAAATACAAGCTATTGTTAAAATTGAGGCATTCTCACAGTGCTGATGACAAAGGACAATTAAAGCCGAATCCTGGTGAGGTGTGGTGGCTCATGGAACAAAAACTATAATCCCAGCACTCAAGGCAAGAGGATAGCTTGAGCCCAGGAGTTTAAGATCAGCCTAAGCAACATAGTGTAACCTCGTGTCTACTAAAAATTAGCCAGGCATGGCTGCACAAGCCAATAGTCCCAGCTACTCAGGAGGCTTAGACGAAAAGATCACCTGAACCCCAGGAGTCAAGGCTGAGGTGAGCCATGACTATATCACTGCATTCCAGCCTGGGCAACAGAGTGAGATCCTGACTCAAAAAAAGAAAAAAGAAAGGTGAATCCCAGATATAAGAAAAATGGCTGGCTAATGAGTAAGGAATTTTGAACAGCATTTTTACTGTAGACAATTCTACTTAACGGAGTGAAGATGAGATCTGTCTTGTGAGAAGATCAAGCATGCGATGCTTTGTTCTCAAATAGCTCGCTGTTTCATATTTTAAAGAAAATATTGCATTACATTGATTTTAAACTGGCTTCCTTACAATCTACAGATATTATTTTATTTTTATTTTAGAGTTGTGGGGTACAAGTAGGAACTTACTACCTAAGTAGGTTGCAAGCAGGTGAAGTTTGGGCTTCCAGTTGGCCCTCTCTCCCCCGATAGTGGGCCAGGTACCCAGTGTGTTGCCATGTGTCTCCCTCCCTCTTCCCTTCCTCCCACATATGATTACTGAGAGCACACCTTTAAGATTTAGTTTTATGGTCTTTGAAAACCTGATTGGTAGCAGAAAACTGCATTACATCTACTTTTTTTAAAAGAAATGTAGAGGCAAAATTTTTCACCCTCGCCCCCCCAACCCCTGCCTGGCAAATTTTTAACAGTCAAGAAAACAAATGCTTGCCAGCCTCCTCCACCCAATGTATGCACAAACCACTGACACTGCCTGACATCTGCATCTGCGAAGAAACCCTGTGTCCCTCCAGTTGGCCTTACAGTCTAGATTTCAAAGCAAGAGCAGGGTCTCTTCATGTTTGTTCCTCTAGAAAAGGGGGTCACCACAAGAAGGCAATAGTTATACAACTGTGTAACAAGCCCACATCCTGTTTCTATGTACATTTTGGAGAAAATACACCAAGGTCTTAGGTTATCATGATCTCAAAGGAAAATGCTACAGTTATTATATTACTGAAAAGAAAAGAAAAACAGTAGTTTGCCACCGTAAAATTGAATAGCTTTCTGTTTCACCTTCTCCAATGAGGCAGTACCCACAACTATACACATTAAAGTAAAATTTAATTCCCAAAAGTTTAACTCCTGTAATTCCTAACAGTTCCCCACAACTGGTCAAATGTCATTATCTCCATTAATCATTATCCAGAGGAAATTCACATAGCCTAGAATATCAACTACTGACTGAGGACATGATTAGGCAACAATGAATAACTTTAGGGAAGATGGGGAGGCACAAGTGTCCAATAGCTCGTAGGCCAGGAAAGACAGGGAAGTAGATTCCCCAGGGCTATGAGACTTTTTAAAAACAAAACCCTACACAGACAGCCAATACCGTGGAGCTTCCCCAGTCAAAATGAGGAGGGAAGGAGAAGAGGGAAGGGCCAAGGGGGCTTAGGCGCTCAGTTTTTGCAGTCCTCTTAGGACCATTGAGCTTGGCTAGTTTGCTCAGCTGTGGTCTAGAGGGCTTGGACACTCAATTAAACAGGTGGCTATCGCTTCCCACTGCATGTGCTGAGTGACCAGCCACTCTGGGCAGGGAATCATTGGTTTGTATGTCTAAAGCAGCAATGGGAAGCTGTTCCTGGATTAGCTATTGTTCCCGGATCTATCCAGGGCTTTCAGACTGCTGGGCCAGGGCTCCCTCTACTCTTTCACACCTCATTTCCAACTGTCTGACAGCTCCTTGAAAACTTCAGGAATGACCTTCCAAAAAAGCATGTGGTTTCTGTTTCTCAACTCACCCCAACCCCGATATTCCTAATTAGCTCTAACTCTGTATTAGGCACAAGCATATACTTTAATTAGCCATACTTAACTGTAGGGTCTCTTAGGGGAGACCTTAGCCTTAAACACCTCTGCCTCACCCACACTAGCCAGTGAAAGTGGTGTAGCTTCGGACAGTGTCCCTCTCCTAGGAGTCAGATTAGACCACTGCCTACACCAGAACATGCTGTCCTTTGCACGAGCACGCATGCAAGCCCCATGACAGTTGGTGTTTGGTGAAAGGCTGTTTACAAAAGACATGTCCTAGGGTTTCTGTCTCTAATCTATTCAAGTACCTCCTCATCTAAAGACAAATTCAGAGATGTACACTTTTGAAAATTGGAAGGAAGGGTATTTGTCAGAATGATCCTTTTTTGGTTGCAAATCTCTTTGACAATCAAAGGCTTCAGATTCTCTCTCCAAGACAATCATATTTTTTTTTTTATTTTTTTATTTTTTTGAGTCGGAGTCTCACTCTGTCGCCCAGACTGGAGTGCAGTGGCCGCTCCCGGCCACTGCAGCCTCGACCTGCTGGGTTCTGGCGATCCTTCCGCCTCAGCCTTCTGAGTAGCTGAAATTACAGGCACGCGCTACCACACCTGGCTGATTTTTTGATTTATTGTAGAGATGAGGTTTCGCTAAGTTGCCCGGGTGGGCCTCAAACCCACAAGCTCAGGCAATTCACTCACCTTGGCCTCCCAAAGTGCGGGATTACAGGCTGAGCCACCGAGCCCGGCTGACAATCATATTTTTAAAATGTTGCCTGTGCCATTCCAGAGCAACCACAGACCCCAAAAGTTCATCTGTGGACCCTAAATTTCAGGTTAAGAATCCCGGGCCAGGTGCGGTGGTCAGTCTGTAATCCCAGCACTTTGGGAGACCAAGGTGAGAGAGGATTGCCTGAGCCCAGGGGTTCAAGACCAGCCTGGGCAACTTGGTGAGACCTCATCTCTACAATAAATCACAAAAACTAGCCAGGTATGTGGCGTGCGTCTATAGGTCCAACTACTTGGAAGGCTGAGGTGGAAGGATCACCTAAGCGCAGCAGGTCAAGGCTGTGGTGGCCGTGAGCATGCCACTGCACTCCAGCCTGGGCAACAAGAGTGAGATTCCAACTTAAAAAAAAAAAGAATTCCCAATTCCTAATCTAGAAGAAGTCTCTTTATGAGTGACAATCTCTTCTTATGGGTAATATGTTTGCAGTAAGACCCTGAGTGCTCTAAGTTGGGGTTCCTTTTTCTTTGGTTTCCTTCCTTCTTTTCTCTTACTACTCTGTCATTTACCTACCCCTGATGGATTCAGTGCAAGTTCTCTCATCTTTTCCATTTCTAAGTTCTTCAACTTCCCTGACCTTCCAAAACACAGAGTGTCAAAATGACCATCATAACCTTACAAAGTGATTTTACTGTTTTGCATCTCCCCAAGGTGACAGCCAACTCCAAGTGAACAAAATTATACTGGGCTTGCTGTTGTTTTTGCATATCCCCTCAGTGCCAATACTCTGTACACCTTAGAGGCTCAATACAGTTGGCTCTCCATATCCATGGGCTCCACATCCATGGATTCAACCAACTTTGGATCCAAAAAAAAATTTTTTTTTGAGTTAGAGTCTCACTCTGTAGCTCAGACTGGAGTGCAGTGGCCGCTCCCGGGCACCACAGCCTCAACCTGCTGGGCTCCAGCAATCCTTCCACCCCAGCCTTCCAAGTAGCTGGAACTACAGGCGCACGCTACCATGCCTGGCTAATTTTTTGATTTATTGTAGAGATGAGGTCTCGTCAAGTTGCCCAGGCAGGTCTCGAACCCGCGGGCTCAAGCAATCCACTCACCTCGGCCTCCCAAAGCAAGGGATTACAGGCTGAGCCACCGAGCTCAGCCCAAAAATATTAAAAAAAAAAAAAAAAGATGGCTGTACCTGTACTATACATGTACAGACTTTTTTCTTATCATTATTACCTAAATAATACAGTATGACAACAATTTACATAGCATTTACATTATATTAGGTATTATAATCTAAAGATGTTTTAAAGTATACAGAAGGATGTGTACTGATTTTTTGCAAATACTATACCATTTTACATAAGGGACTTGAGCATCCTGGATTTTGGTATCCTTGGGGTGGGAGTCCCAGAACCAATTCCCTATGGATTCTAAGGGATGACTGTATACACTTACCAAATGATCTGATATTACTGCTTTGTGATCTTTTTATCTTTAGACATTTATACTTGAATGTACTGGCTCCTTCAAAATTTGGGTATGTGTGCTGATGCGGTGGCTCATACTTGTAAATCCAGCATTTTGGGAGACAGAGGTGAGAGGACTGCCTGAACCCACAGGTTCAAGACCAACCTGGGCAACATGGCAAGACCTCATCTCTACAATAAATCAAAAAATTACAGTGGCTCAGCCTGTAATCCTGCGCCTTGGGAGGCTGAGGTGAGTGGACTGACTGAGCTCGCGGGTTCGAGACCCGCCTGGGCAACTTGGTGAGACCTCATCTCTACAATAAATCAAAAAATTAGCTGGGTGTGGTAGCGCGTGCCTGTAGTTCCAGTTACTTGGAAGGCTGAGGCAGAAGATTCGCTGGAGCCCAGCGGCTCAAGGCTGCAGTGGCCGGGAGCGCCAACTACACTCCAGTCTGGGCGACTGAGTGAGACACCAACTCAAAAAAAAAAAAAAAAAAAAAAATTAGCCGGGAATGGTGGCACAAGCCTGTAGTTTCAGCTACTTGCAAGGCTGAGGCAAAAGGATCGCCTGAGCCCTGCAGGTCAAGGCCGCAGTGGCTGTGGGAGTGCCACTGCACTTCAGCCTGGGTGACAGAATGAGACTCTGACTCAAAAAAAAAAAAATTGTGAGCCGGGCTCGGTGGCTCAGCCTGTAATCCCAGCGCTTTGGGAGGCTGAGGTGAGTGGATTGCCTGAGCCCGCGATTTTGAGACCCACCTGGGCAACTTGGTGAGAACTCATCTCTACAATAAATCAAAAAAATTAGCCGGGCGTGACAGCACGCGCCTATAGTTCCAGCTACTTGGAAGGCTGAGGCGGAAGGATCACCGGAGCCCAGCACGTTGAGGCTGTAGTGGCTTGGGAGCGTGCCACTGCCCTCCAGCCTCGGCGACAGAGTGAGACTCCAACTCAAAAAAAAAAAAAAAAAAATTTTTTTTAAATTGTGATTTATAATGAGATACATATACAAATACATTTGTTCTCCACATTTGTAGTTAAGACAACTAGTTTATTTATTTATTTATTTTTATTATTTATTTTTTTGAGTTGGAGTCTCACTCCATCGCCCAGGCTGGAGTGCAACGGCACACTCATGGCCACCCCAGAGTCAATCTGCTGGGCTCAGGAGATCTTTCCACCTCAGCCTTCCAATTAGCTGGAACTCCAGGTATGCACTACCACGCCCAGCTAATTTTTTGATTTATTGTAGAGATAAGGTCTCACCAAGTTGTCCAGGCTGTTCTCGAACCTGTGGGCTTAGGCAATCACCTCACCTCAATCTCCCAAAGTGCTGAGATTAGTTTTTGCTTTTTTTTAGAGGCAGGATCTCACTGTCACCCATGCTGGAATTTCCTGGGTAATAGGAGCACCTTTTGTTCTAATGAGGCAACTCTTGGTGGGCTCCAGGATAGCCTTTGAAGGGAACCTGGTTGCCAGAGAAACCAACTATGTGACTAGAGCATGGGAACTTGTAGTCCCATCTCCTTTACCTCAGCGGAAAGGAGAAGGGCTAAAGGCTGAATTGATTACCAATGGCCAATATGTAATCAATCACGCCTATGTCATAAAGCCTCCATAAAAACACAAAATGACAGGGTTTGGATTAGCTTTGGGATAGCTGAACACATCAATTTCAACAGACAGCCTAGAAGATCTATTCCGCTTCCCACATGCCTCACCTAATACATCTCTTCCATCTGGTTGCTCATCTGTATCCTTGTTTTGTTTTGTTTTGAGTCTTACTGATTCAAAACTGGAGTGCAGCCTTGATCTGCTGGGCTCAGGCAATCCTTCGGCCTCAGCCTTCCAAGTAGTTGGAACTACAGGCACCTGCCACCATGCCCACCTAATTTTTTTGACATATTGTAGAGACAAGGTCTCACACAGTTGCCCAGGCTAATCTCAAACCCCTGGGCTCAGACAATCCTCTTGCCTCCGCCTCACAAAGTGCTGGTA